GGGCCATCCCTATCCCTCATACCACCATATCTTTGGTTTGCATCACCATATCTATCTCTATACCCGTCTCTGCTGCTGCTGCTGTTGCTGCTGCTGCTGCTGCTGCCGCCTCTGCTGCTGCTGCTGTAGTCCGGCCGCATAGAAGCAGCACGGATCTCCGTCTGCAACCTCTTAGGGGGGCCCCCAAGGGCATTAAGTGGTTCCCTCTTAGGAGGGGCCTGCACCGTCTTGCTGCTGCTGTTGCTGCTGTTGCTGCTGGTGCTGCTGGTGGTAGTGGTGCCCTCAGTTCCTTGGGTGGCGCTAGTGGTGCCATCGCTGCTGCTTCCGGTGGTCGTGCTGCTGCTGCTGCTGCTGCTGTTGCTGCTGCCACTGCTGGCGGCGTCTGCGGCCTTGTTAGAGGCGTTGCTGCCACCGCTGCTGCTCTCTGGAGGTTTGCTGTTGCTGCTGCTGCTGCTGCTGCTCCCTGGAGAGCTAGTCTTTGGGTTGCTGCTGTTACTGGAGTCCTGGCTGCTGCTGCTGCTATTGCTGCTGTTGTTGTCGTTGCTGCTACCACTACCGGAAGCTGCCCCGTTGGCCACAGGCTTTGGTGTCGTTGCTGCTGCTGTTGCTTCTTCTTCTTCTGCCGCTGCAGGTGTTGTTGCAGCAGCAGCAGCAGACGAGCTTGGCGTAGCTGTTTCTTCAGCAGCAACAGCAGCAGCAGTTTCTGCTGCTGCTGCAGTTTCTACACCGTCTGGTGCTGTCATGATGTACTATTAGGTATAATCAGTTAAGGAAACAACCCGTAAAAAGTTGCTGCTGCTGCTGCAGTGCAGCAGCTAAGCGTTCTGGAGTTGCTGCTGCTGCTGCACTGTTGCTGCTGCTGCTGCTGCTTGCTGCGCTGTTAACAGCAGCAGCAAGGACACAAGAGAATAATGTAACAAATAGAGCAGCAACAATAAAAAAAAGAAAAAAAACAAATAATAAGGGAAGAACAAGAGGTAGATCCTCCCTCTCTTTTGGGGCTTTTTCTTAAGCACTGTGCATGCAAAAAGCAGCAGCAGCTGCTGCTGCTACTGCTGCTACAGCAACTGCAGCAGCTAAGGCTTCAAAAAAAGCATTCTTACTTAACAAGCATCCTGTATCTCTCACTGCAGCAAGAAGACAGCAGCAAACCGATTCCTACGTGGGGGCCGTGCAGCCCCTGTTGCGCTGCTGCAGCAGCAGCTGCTGCACCTGCTGCTGCTCCTCTTCCTCCTCCTCCTGCTGTTTCTGCTGCTGTTAATGGCTTTACTAGTTTACGCAGGTGAAGCAGCAGTGCCACCTGCGCAGCAGCAGACGCAACACAGCTGCTAGCGCAGCTGGGTCAACCGCAGCAGCAACAGCAACAGCAGCAGCAACAGCAGCAGCAACAGCAACAGCAGCAGCAGCAGCAGCAGCAGAAGCAATAACGAGGAGCTCGCAGTGACAACGCGACAAACATAACAGACGTATGCGGGTGTAACGGCAGCAGGCCTGCAGTATCAGCAGCCACAGCAGCAGCCACAGCAGCAGCCACAGCAGCAGCAGCAGGTGTGGCAGCTGGAGCAGAAGTACCTTGCTAAGCGGCACGTGCCGCAGCAGCAACAGCAGCAGCAGCATCAGCAGCAGCAACAGCAACAGCAGCAACAGCAACAGCAGCAACAGCAGCAGCAGCAGGATGTCAAAGCAAGGACGCCGTAAGGGTTGCAGACAGCGAGACGAGGAAGAAGAGTACGACGGCTGTCTTGCTGCTCCTGCTGCTGCTGCTGCTGCAGCAGCAGGAAGAAGATGGAAGAAAAGAGAGGCACCTGAACTCGGCCTTATTACTGCACAAGAAGATGTAGAGGCATCCAGGTAAACCCTAAACCCTAAACCCTAAACCCTAGTCTCTAAACCCTAAACCCGAAACCCTAGTCTCTAAACCCTAAACACTAAACCCTAGTTTCTAAACCCTACTAAACCCTAGCAGAGCTGTCTAAACCCTAAACCCTAGGCGAAGTGCTGTATAAACCCTAAACCCTAGGCGAATTATCTAAACCCTAAACCCTAAACCATTAACAGCTAGATTGGAGGTGTTATAAACCCTAGATTGTTTCTGTATTGATATTTATAATGCTGAACCCTAAACCCTCATAAACCCTAAACCCTCATAAACCCTAAACCCTCATAAACCCTAAACCCTCTTATATACCCTCATAAACCCTAAACCCTCATAAACCCTAAACCCTCATATATACCCTCATAAACCCTAAACCCTCATATATACCCTCATAAACCCTAAACCCTAATAAACCCTCTTACACCCTCATAGACTTTCCTAAACCGTAAACCCTAGTGTATTTTGCTGCTGTATAGAAAGTAGATATGTCTTGCTGCTGCTGCTGCTGCTGTTGGGTGTATATACAGGGTAGGTGTTGCTTCTTGGGTAGCAGCGCATGCAGGGAATTCTTCTTTGCTGCCTCGTCATCTTTGCTGTTGCTGCGGCATGCCTGCTAGCTTCCGGTGTACGAAGTGCTGCAAGAAGCGTACAAAGAGCAGCAGCAGCAGCAGCAGCAGCAGCAGCGGCATGGTACCAGCAGGTGCAACAGCAACAGCAGCAGCAGCAACAACAGGTGAATATTTCTGCAGCATAGAGTGTCTAACTATACATGTGGCAGCAGGTTGTACACGACGCCACCTCCTTAACTGGTAACGTGCTGCTGCTGCTGCTGCTGCTGCTGCAACAGCTGCTGCTGCAGTTCATGATGCTGCAGTTGCTGCAGAACCTGCTGCAACCGCTGTTGCAGCAGGTGCTGCTGCAGCGGGTGCCGTTGCTGCTGCTGCTGTTATTGCAATTAATTACTCGCATGCATTTGCTGCAATTTGACGCGGCAGCAGCAACAGCAACGGGGGCAGCAGCACACAACAGTAGCAGCAGCAACAACAACAAGCAGCAGCAACATATTTTGGTCCCTGCTGCAACAACAAAGACATCTAATTGTTTTCTTCCTTGCCTTCTTGGCTTTAAGTGTATCTGCTTCCGCATTTGCTGCTGCTGCTGCTGCTGCTGCTGTTGCTGCTGCTGCTGCTCCTGCTGCTGCACTTGCTGCTGCTACAACTGTCTCCTCCTGTCTACGTAGCTGCTGTAACGGGTTCTGCTGCAGCAGCTGCTGCTGCAGCCGCTGCAGCAGCACCAACTGTAGCTGCCGTGGCGGCCGGGTGCCATTTGCTGCTCTGGATTCCGCTGCAGTAGCAGCAGCCCCAGTATGTAGCACGAGTAGCAGCAGTAGCAGCAGCAGCAGCAGCAGCAGCAGGTTAATGTATATGTAGCTGTCTCCATAGACAGAAGCAAACAAAAGAAGAGACAAAAAAGGAGACAAAAAAGGAGACAAAAAAAGCAGACAAAAAAGGAGACAAAAAAGGAGACACATAGAGAGAACCTTCAAGGAAGGAAAGAGGAAGAAAGTCCCGGTCAGTGTGCTGCAGCAGCAGCACTATTTTTGCTGCTGCTGCTGCTGCAGCACAAATGTTGCTGCTGCGGCTGCTTCTGCTGCTGCAGAAAATCGAGGTCCAATGCCTACAAGAGTGATGTTCTGCAGAGGTGGCAGCAGACTGTTGCTGCTGCTGTTGCTGCAGCAGCAGCAGCAGCAGAAGCAGCACCAGATGTTGCTACTCCAACACGGGGGAAGAGGCACCTAATGGGGCCCTGTGGTAGTCAAGGCTACCGCAAGCAGCAGCAGCTTCTGCGTCTGCTGCTGCAACGACTGCCTCATCTTCTGCTGCTGCTGCTGCTGCTTCTTGTGCTGCTGCGTTCTCTGCAGCAGCAACCGCATCAGCAGCAGCAGCTGCTGCTGCTGCATCACGATCGTGGGGACAGTCTACTTCTTGAGGCAGCTCTCCAGATGTCACTGGCTGCCTCCTGCTGTCTCCTGCTGCTGCTGCTGCTGCTGCAAACTGCGTACGTTGCTGCTGCACGAAGGGGGCTCTGTCCCCGTGACGTGCTGCTGCTGTCTTGCTGCCTGCGCTAGTACCCCTTCTATCCACGGCAAAGGGCCTAGCAGCAGCCGCAGCAGCAGGTGCAGCAGCAGCAGCAACAGTAGATGCAGCAGCAGGTCTTCCTGCATGCGTTCTGTGGGGTGTACCACGGAAGTTTTGTCTGCGGATACTGCTGCTGCTGCTGCGGTTGCTGCTGTTGCTGCGGTGCAGCCGCAGCCTGTCATTCCTGGTGGTGCTGCTGCTGCGCATGCATGCAACATTGCTGTTTAGTCGGTCTTGATTGCTGCTCTTTATTGGGCGCAATACATGCTGCCTCCTGCTGCTGCTGCTCGTGCTGCTGCTGCTGCGGCGCCCCCTGCGGGGTTCAGGGGCTCTGCTGCAGTCCTCCGATCGGTCTCTTACCCCAAAGCAACCACCATTCCTGCTGCTGCTGCTGCTGCTGCTGCTGTAGGGCAGGTACCTGGTGCTGCTGCTGCTGTAGGGCGGGTACCTGCTGCTGCTGCTGCTGCTGTATGGCGGGTATCTGCTACTGCTGCTGATGTCGCTGTAGGGCGGGTGTCTGCTGCTGCTGCTGATGCTGCTGTAAGGCGGATATCTGCTGCTGCTGCTGCAGCTGTACGGCGGGAATCTGCTGCTGCTGCTACCAGGAGGGTATCTGCTGTTGCTGTTGCTATTATCCGGCGGGTATCTGCTGCTGTTGCTGTAGGGCGGGTATCTGCTGCTGCTGCTGCAGTTGTAGGGCGGAAATCTGCTGCCGCCGCCGCTGCAGTGGTAGGGCGGAAATCTGCTGCTGTTGCTGCTGCTGCTGTGAGGGGGGTATCTGCTGGTGTCGCTGCTGTTGTATGGAATATATCTGCTGCTGCTGCTGCTGCTGCTGCTCTCTGGAGGATATCTGCTGCTGCTGTAATGCGGATATTTGCTGTTGCTTTTGCTGCAGCTTCTGCTGCTCCTCCTCCTTTGATGCGGATACCTGCTGCGGCTGCTGCTGCGACGCCGTCTTTGGGCCTGATATTTGCTGCTGCTGCGGCTCCTGCTGATGTCGCTGCGGCTGCGGTTTCTGTTGTTGTTGCTGCTGCTGCTGCTGTGGGGCGCAGGCCTGAAGCTGGCCCCAACGTGGCTACCAACTTTGGTGGTTTCTTTGTCTTGAACATATCGGCCTTTGCTGCTGCTGCTGCTGCTGCTGCTGCTGCTTTGAGGTTGAAGGACAGGGGAGCTGCTGCTGCCAAGAGGAGGTTCGCTGCTGCGCGGTCGTTCTGAGGGGGCTGTGCTGCCCCTCAGATGCTGCGATTCCTCCCGAGCAGAACTGCTGCTACTGCTGCTGCTGCTGCTGCTATCAGGCTTGCTGTTGCTGCTGCTTCTGCTGCGGCTGTAGATACAGCTGGCGGGGCTTCTGCTGATGCTCCTGCTAACACTGCGGCTAACACTTCGGCCCCAGCTAGCAGGTAGCCGTCTCACCTGTTGCTGCAGCTGCTGCCGTTGCTGCTGCTGTTGGTGCTCTTTTTGCTGCTGCTGCAGCTGCTGCCCGCTGCGACTTCTGCTGCGAGGCGTTCGGGAAGGTGTCTGTGCGGCTGCAACCCCTGGTGCTGCTGCTGCTGCTGCTGCCTTTGATGCTGTGGCTGCTGTTGCATGCGCAGCAGCTGCTGGCGATGCACTTTGTGGGGAAGTCTCCTTGATGCATGCAGCTTGCTGCTGCCCTCTGTACACAACGGAAGCATCTGAGTCGCTGCTGTTGCCGCTGCTGCTGCTGCTGATTACTAACGCCTCAATGGCGCATTTGCTGTTGCCTCTGCTCCGACTTCTGCTGCTGCTGCTGCTTCTGCTGCTGCTGCTGCTGCATCGGATGATCTCTGTCTCAGTTACAGGTTGGCACACAGCGCGTGAACGCTGCGGGGTCGGTTCTTGCTTCTTTTTGCTAGTAAGCAATCTGCTGCTGCTGCTGCTGCTGCTGCTGCGACTGCGACTGCGGCTGCCAGATTTGCTTCTCTTCTCAAGCCGCTGCAGCTGCCGCAGCAGCCGCTGCTGCTGCTTCTCTAGGCGTCTCCTTGTCTCCTCTCTGTGTGTCTCCTTCCTTAAAGCATCATAATTTAGCTTAAAGGCGCAGCGTACGCAGACGCGACACTGCACGAGGGCCTGCAGCAGCAGCAGCAACAGCAGCAGCACCAACAGCAGCAGCAGTATATTAATGTATGCCGACTCACAGGAAGCAGCAGCAGCAGCAGTAAATATGCATGCAACGGATCCCACAGAGCAGCAGCACCGCAAAGTGCAGATGCAGCGGCACAGGAGCAGCACGCGAGTGTAGCAGAAGCATCACCAGCAGCAACGCCAGCAGCAGCTTGAGCAGCAAAACAGCAGCAACAAAACAGCAGCAGCACAGCAGCAGCAAAACAGCTGCATGCCTGTTTGGCCTCTCCGTTTTCTGTGTAGCTGAAGTGCAGCTGATAGGTACGAAGTTGCTGCAGCACTTGCTGCTGCTGCTGTAGCTGCTGCTGCTGCTCTAGGAGGCGGCGCATCTTATGATCTTCGGTAAGGTCAATAGCAGGGGCAGCAGCAGCTACTGCTGCTGCAGCTTCCTCTGCTGCTGCAGTCTTTGCTGCAGCTGCCTGGGTTGCTTCTTCGAGTGCAGCAGCAGCAGCAGCAGCCCGATCAGCAGCACGTGCAGCAGCGTCTGCCAGCCGTTTGCTGCTGCGGTCTTCGTTTGCTTTGCCTGCTGCTGCAGCAAATGCAGCAGATCGCGCATCAGAAGCAGTAGCTGCTGCTGCTGCTTGCAGCTCCTTTACTCTTGCTTTTGCTGCTTCCTTCTCTTTGTTGCGCTGCAGCAGAGCAGCACGAAGGAAGTCTTCCTCTGGTAACCCCCTCTCCTTGCGTAGAGCAGCAATTTGCTGCTGCAGCAGCAGCAGAGCTGCTGCAGTGTCTCTCTGCTTCTTCTGCGTGCGGCAGCTGCTGCCCCCACAAAAGCGACCCCCGATCCCCGCAGCAGCTTCCTCTGCAGTGCGCCAGCGAAAACCTATCTGCAGCAGCAGCAACAGCAGCAGCAGCAGATGACAGCAAAGTTCAATCAACAGTACACATAGACACACCAGCCACCGCCTGCAGCAGCAGCAACACAAGCAGCGGCAACAGCAGCAGCAGCAGCAGCGCACTGTCCAGTCAGCAGCAGCAACAGCAGCGGCAACAGCAACAGCAGCAACGGCAGCAGCAGCAGTAGCAGCAGCAGCAGCAGCAGCAGACCTGTCCCTTGCTATATCTGCTCAAGTCGCAAATTACAAAAGGCAAACCCGTAGAGACCGCAGACCCCTCCCTCTGATGACACACACACACAAACCCTAAACCCTAAACCCTAAACCCTAAACCCTAAACCCTAAACCCTAGGCTCTGGGAATATATGGCGATCGTTGGATGAAGCAGCAGCTCGCTGCAGAGGGGCTAAACGATCCTGTTTCTAATGCAAGCAATACTGCTGCTGCTGCTGCTGCTTCTGCTGCTCCTGTTCCTGTTGCTGCTGGTGCTGCTGTTGCTGCTGCTGCTGCTGCTGCTGTTCGACCCACTCGATGTTCATCTGCAGCAGAGACAGCAGCAGCAACACTTGCAAGAGCTCCCCGCGGCCTCCCTCTTCCTTCTGCTGCTGCTGTTGCTGTTGTTGTTGCTGCTGCTGCTGTTGCTGTTGCTGCTGCTGCAGATTGAGGCCTGCTAGTTAACACGACCGTTCTCTTAGTTCCCTGGTATGTTGCCGTTGCTGCTGCTGCTGGTGCTGCTGCTGCTACTGCTGCTGGCTCACGAGGTGTAGCGAGCCTCGCTCCCGTTGCTGCTGAAGTGTTTGCTGCTGCTGCTGCTGAAGTGTTTGCTGCTACTGGGGTCTTCGCTGCTGCTGCGGTGGTGCAGGCTGCTGCTGCTGCTGCCGGTGACTCACTTGATGCTGCAGGCCTTGCTGTTGCCGCAGACTCTCTCTGTGGCGCAGCTTTGCCTGCTTCTGCTGCTGTTGCTGTTGCTGTTGCTGCTGCTGTTGCTGCTGCTGTTGCTGCTGCTGTTGCTGCTGCTGTTGCTGCTGCTGTTGCTGCTGCTGTTGCTGCTGTTGTTGCTGCTGCTGTTGCTGTGCTGTTCGTTGCTGGATTCCTTACCCGGGAAGACGTGTCTGCAGCGCCACCAGCAGCAGCAGCGGGAGCAGCAGCAGCAGCAGTCTTTGCTACTGTTGCTTCCCTTTCTCCATGACTCTTTGCTGCAGATACATTTGCTGATGCTGCAGCAGAAGTGCGTCTTGCAGCAGCAGCAGCACCTGCTGCTGCTGCTGCTGGCTCTGCATGCACTCTTAACGTTTTATCTGCTGCTGATAATATTGCTGCTGCTGTTGCATTTTGTTTTGCTGCTGTTGCTGTTGCTGGTATGTGCTTACCCTTCCCCTGGACGTCCTTTTCATCTACTGGTGCTGCTGCTGCTGCTGCTGCTGCTGCTGCGTTTCTTGCTGTCGGTGGTGGTGTTTCTGCTTCTCCCCTACCTCTGCGTGCTGCTGGTGTTAGCTGCACGCTTTTTGTTGTTGCAGCCTGGCTTGTTGTTGTTGCTGCTGCTGCAGTTTGTATATTTGTTGCTGCAATGCATCTTGCAGCTGCTGCTTCCTCCCTGCATGCAACAGAAGCGGCAGCAGCACGGGGCTCTGCTGCTGATGCCGAAGCCCTGGGGCCTTCCTGCAGGATAACTCGTCTGCGGTGCGGTTGCTGCTGCTGCTGCTGCTGCTGCTGTTTGTGCTGCTGATGGCCTACACCTGCTGCTGCTCGTGCGGCTGCTGCTGCTGCTGGCGGTAGGATGCGTTGCGGCCAGTCACCTGCTGCTGTATGTGGGGGGGCCCTCTTTGTAGGAGGAAGCCTCAGGGGGGGCCTCTCTGGGTACTGTCTGCTGCTGCTGCTGCTACTACTACTACTACTAGTACTGCTGCTTAGAAGAGGGAAGACACGACGAAGATGCAGAGGAGGGGAATCCCCCACATGGCGGTGGCGGCGCATGCCCATTAGCAGCAGCAAATCAGTTGTGTTGCTGTTCCTGTTGCTGTTTGCGTTGTTGCTGCAGTAGCAGCGTTATCTGTTTCGATATCCGTGCTGCTGCAACAGCAGCTGCTGCTGCTGTTGCTGCTGCTGATGCTGCTGATGCTGATGCTGCTCCCGGTGCTGCTATTGTTGCTGTTGCTGTTGCCGTTGCAGGGTGCACGGCAAGGACGGCTGGGGCAGCAGAAGGAAGTGAGCAGCTTGCTAGGACATGCAGCAGGAGCTGCTGCTGCAGCTGTTAGAGGAAATAATGCAGCAGCTGTTGCAGATGTAGAAGGATATAAATCCGTTTCTATTAAGAAGAAGAAAATGTTGAGGAAGAAGATTATAATGTAAGAGGCCTCTTTGCTACCCTTAGGGTTTATGCAGCTTCCCAGCGGGGCTGTTCTTATTTAGGGTTTAGGGTTTAGGGTTTAGGGTTTGGCAGGCTCTCCCTTCTGTTAGCCCCGCTTCTCCTACAGCGAAGAACACCGCTGCTGCTTTTGCTGCCGATGCTGCTGCTGCTGCTGCTACGCTGCTGCAGCAGAACATTGGTGGTGGGGGGCCCATGGGGCCCCCATCAGTGCTTCTGCTGCGGCAAGGGCTTCTCTGGGGCTGTTGCTACTGTTGTCTTGCAAGAGTACATTATCATAAATAAAAATAATTTACAATGTTTTATTATTGGCATAGAGGACAAGCAGCTGTCTGCTGCCCTGCCTGGTGTTGTAGTGCAGCTAGCTGCACACCAGCAACAGCAGGAGCACCAGATGCAGCAGCAGCAGAAAAACAGAGGCAGCAGCTGGCGGGGTCGTGCCATTTTATTTATACCCTGCCTCTGTCGTCTGTTAGATATAAATAATATACATCGACTTTATTAAGTCTTTATTTTTCTTAAGTGTCATGTAGTCCTTTAGGCAGTTATTACTCTAACTTGCGTGAATTGATGTATTAGGTGGGTCTGGTATGTTTCTTCGTACGAATATTCTTATTAGCTGCTGTATATATATATATATTAT